AATTATATATATGATTTAGCATAAAAAAAGGTTTTGAGCTAAGGTCCTAATTACGATTTTATTTGTAGTTTTGATCCACAAAATTTCTTTTATATTTTGTCACAGGGAAAAAAAATTGATAAAAAAAATAAAGAGATATTCTAGGATACCTCATATAACGACTATGGATCTCATATAACGACTATGGATTTGGATTTTGTTGTTTTCAGTGTGTGTGTTTTGTGTGGTGTGCCTTTCTCGTTCTCTCTCTATGCCATGCTCGAACGGTCGAACCTCAATCTAGTCACACGTTGATTGCATAAATTTTACCTCATATGATAGATATTTAAATTGAAGAAAATTTGTCTTCTTCTAACCTTTTTTTTTTGAAATAATATTTTTTCGTTCGGGTTTAGTTTCCCTTTTTGGGCTATTGATTCCGAATGAATTTTTTTTTTTTTTTAAGAAAAAGCTTTCTATTTAAAACATGTGCGGGTAGAAATGTTACAATATGGAAAATTATTACATAAGAACAACAAATATGGTAAACAATAAGGAAGGATACTAAAAAAATATATACACCATCTTAAAGATCCATAATCTTCATCGAAAATCCAGGAGAGACCAAAAGCTAATCCAAACAAAGAACGACACATGAAACACATAACACAAGAAGTCGAATTTGAAGGGTAGAACACAACTCAACCATGAAAACTCTAAGTCCACCACGAAACCTGAAGTGATGCAACACCAAGTAGAAGAGCAGACCTAAACTGAAATACCCCAACATCGAGGAACCGAAACCAAGAACCTCACTTAAAGCCATAGAAAGAGCCTCAAATAACCAGCTAGAAGACGCCAACTCTAAGTCTAAAAGACGACATTAGATTACCCAAGCATTGAGAAGAAAGGGGAAGGCACAATGCCGAGTAGCCCAATCCCTTCACGAACTTAAAGCAACAACCTTTCACTGAAAAGATTAGCATAATCTACAACAATAACTCAACCAGAGCTAAATCACCGTTCTAAAGCAAGAAGGAGCGTCCACCAAAGCACTAAGTCACATCATGCTAGATTAGAGGGAGAGAAAGAGGAACCAAACCTGAGAAACCGTGACCTCAAGTATCTCCAAACCACAACCGGCCGAATTTAGTTAGGCAAAGGTAGAATTAGAAGATAAACCCAAACCAACCCTAGAACCAAGAGCAAGTAGCCGAATGAATTTGTTGTCGTGCTAATATGGCGACGGATGGGTTTGTTCCTTACCGGCTTGTCTACTATGTAACATCAGCTTTTTTTTTTTTTTTCTTCTGATAACACCAGCTTTTGTGCTTTTTATAATTATTCTAGATGGAAAACCAAAAAAAAAACTTACAAATTAGAGAAATTTTCTAAGCCAGCGCATTTTTTTCATATGGATTTCCATTACTAGCTTATTTTTTTATAATTTGGAATACTACCACCAATATTCAACACCAATATTATTATTGGGCCGAGTACAACGGAGTAAAATTATTTACTTACGAAATTAAAAACCCCTATTATGACGATCGCACAGGCTGCTTGATAGGCAAGGCACGTAGAGGTTTGGCCTTCCGCAATGTAACACCGAAGACATCGCTCATGTCCATGTTTTGTGGGACGACACCATTTTCAAGCTTCCAGTCAAAGGAATAGAGAAGAGACGCAAGCACCATAGACATTGTTCTAAGAGCCATCGAGGATCCTGGACACATCCTTCGTCCCGATCCAAAAGGTATCAGCTTGAAGTCGTTGCCTGTCACATCAATTTCTCGTAACAAGAACCTCTCTGGCTCGAACCTCATTGGATTCTCCCACACGCTCGAGTCTCGTCCTATCGCCCACACGTTCACCAAAACCTAAAAAAAGAGATTAGGTTAACGTGATATCCAAGTTAGGTCTAGGTAATGAATCTTCATACCGAGGCGTTTTTAGGAACGAGGAAACCGAAGATTTCGACATCGGCTTCTGCTTTTCGAGGGATCAAAGGAGCTGCAGAATGCAAACGAAGTGTCTCTTTCACAATTGCTTGTAAGTAAGGCAGCCTCTGGATATCAGATTCTCGAACGACACCGTTTCCACCTATCACATGCCGTATCTCACTCTGAGCCTTGATCATCTTTTCCGGGTTACGGATTAACTCTGACATTGCCCACTCCATTGTACTAGAAGTTGTGTCTGTACCAGCAGTAAACACATCCTGTATATATGCACACATGGTTAATAAAGCTAAACCCATCACTCATGGAACAAGAAAGTACTCTTACTTTATCTCAACATCAAGACTCACTTGAACAAAGTGTTTGATTTCATTTATACTGAGTTCTGCTTTGTCCTCCTGAGCAAGATCCAGAAGAGTATCTAGCAAATCGAAGCTCGAAGTCTCTTTACGCTCTCTCTGAGATGATCTCTTAGCCATCCGAGCATCGATGAATTCTTGAAAAATTTTAAATAATCTCTCTGTGCAAAGCGTTGCTTCTTTACGGGTACCTTGTAGATCAAGAAACCTAAGAAACGGGAAATAGTCTCCGAAGTTGGGTTTTCCACTCACGTCCATCAAGCTAATCACCGTGTTGTGGAACTCGTGAGATGACTCGGAATCATGGGTCGCTAAATCCATAGATAACAAAGCATTTGAGATGATACTGAGAGATGTAACGAAGAAAGCACGAGCTATGTCAACAGCTTCTCCTTTCTCACAACATTTGTTGATGAAACTCATAAGTTCTTCTACTTTCTTCATCCTTAAAGACTCCATAGCATTTAAGCGTTGCGTTGATAACAAATGCGTTGTTGTTATCTTCCTCAGAAACCTGAAATGTGATCATATTGAATTATTGATAGTCATATATATATGTATGTATGTGACAAATTTAATTTGGTCTGATTGTTTCCATCAATTTTTTTGCTTGCAGTGAGTAGTGACGTTCGTTTGAACCAAAACATATTCTCACAAGTTTTAAAATCGTATTAAAAAATGTTATAGAGATTTTTTTTGGTTCAACATATAATATGTTCTTACATATTTATGCAAAATTAAATATATTTTATGTTTATAACCGTTTGTATTATGCAGTTTTTTTATAGATTAGTTGTTTTTATGTTAAATAATTATCTTTTTGGAAAAAATTAACAAATTTTTAATAATCGTCTATTTACTCAAAACATCATACATATTTTAAATAAATGAATAATAAATTATGAATTTTTTTTTTTTTTGTTAAAACGCTTATAAATTATGATTTTTTTAGAAGATTCTAATGATTTGCGCTAGTATCGTCGTGGTGTTATCATTTCAATTTCTGTTTCGATGCGTAAGAACCACGAGAAAATTCAAAAGAAAATAAAATACCTCCAACGAGCTGTAGGAGGACCCCATGCAACCGAGTATTCATAGTGGTCAAAGACTCGAACCGGATCGTAAAAGGTTCGGGAAGATAAAAGATGGTCTTGAGTCTTTAGTGCCTCTTTTGCTGCTTCCGGTGAAGATATGACTATGGTAGTTATACTTCCAAGCTTTAGACACATTATTGGTCCATAAATTTTCGAGAGAGCCGTGATCGAACGGTGAGGATTGTTGTGTCCGACTTGGAATATGTTTCCAACCACTGGCAGCTTTTTAGGACCCGGCGGGAGTGTTGCTCGACGGCTTCCGCGAGATTTGCTTCTCGTTTTTCCGGTGATT